ATCTCAAGAGAGAAAGGATTATTTGAACTCATAGCTCAAGGGTACAGACCATCAGGACAGGGAGGTCAAGGCCACAGGAGTTTGAGGTACTTGGTCACATCACATCTACAGTCAGGAAACAGAGTAATGAATGCTAGTTCTCAGCTCACTTTCTCCATTTTATGTAATCCTTGATCTCCACCCAAGTTATGAATGTTAGGGATTGAACCCTTGCAAACCACCATTAAGATGAGTCTTCCTACATCAATTAACCTAATCAAGATAAGCCCTCACAGGCATGCCCAGAAGCTAAATAAACCCTCACAGGTGTGCCCAGGTGCTTGTCTCCGAGGTAATTCCAGAGTCTCATTGACAACACCAACCATCATAAGGCATACAGCTTTAACTTCAAGAAGGGATAATTTGGATTTTATAATTTTAGCCAGAAGAAGAAATAAGGAGTCAAGTTTCCATCTTCCCTGGGCAGCTTGAGTCTTTATATAGCCTTTAAAGAAACAACTAGAGAGTACTTAACAGTCAGTTATGCTTTGTTTAGATAATTCAGCATGACAGGTTAGCACAGCCAGAAAATATTCATGCCATCCAACGGGCTCCCTGTCGATTAGAGGTGAAAAGGCTTCCAAGGAAAGATCCAAGAATCTAGAATTGCCTCAATTTCAAAAGTTAATTCTTGTCACTTTTTTAAAAATTATGAATGCTTAGGGATTTATTCACAATAAATCTCTTCACGATTTAATGGACTTAATCCTCAGGGGCCATTAGAAGAAGCTGCTAGAATGATAGGGAACCTAGTTGCTGAGGCCTGTGATTACAGTGACCTTTGATCGAAGTTTCCATTGGTTTCTGGCCTGAAGATTTGTCTTAGTAAAAAGAATAGTGAACACCTCTTTTAGGTTTGTAAGTCCCTCTTTGCAAAGCCAAAGCACACTGTCTTTTTCCTGTTGGTGATTATGTGGAGAAAATACAATGCCATTTTTATTCATAGAATGTGAGAATGCTGTCTGCCACTCAGCTGCACAATCAGCTATAGAACCTATTTCTCCTGGCCTCACATTTTTCCCTCATCATTTAGTCTTCACATTCATTAGGTTAGAGGATTATTTTTAACATCCTAGTATCTTCCTGTGAGTAGTCATTACTCAGGCTTGTGTTTAACGCATTTGAAAATTACGAGGTAGTTTTACAAGCTAAAAGTTTTTTAAAGATTCATTTTCAATAATGTGTATGTGTGTGTATACTACATGTGTGCTGGTGCTCAAGAAAGCTAGAGGAAAGCATCAGATCACCTGAGCTGGAGTTACAGGTGTTGTGAGCCCCATGTTCAGTGCTGGGAACTGAACTCAGGTCCTCTGGAAGAGCAGCAAGTACTCTTATCACTGAGGTATCTTTCCAGCCAGAAGATCTGTTTCTGAAGCTATTTTATCAGACCTGATAAAAAATGAAATATGACATTGTTGCTATTTTGTGATTAAGTCAGAGTAGCTTATTGCATTTAAGCTTTGATTTGAGAACTGCATGTACAAACTGTCAGGTATGACAGTATCAATAAAAGCTTATCTTCAGATAATGTTCTCTGCCTGTAAATCAGTGTCATGAATTGCCATGGAAGTGAGGAAGGCATCTGGAGCTGTGAACTGTGCTCTAGCTGTGTGGCCTTTGGACTTGCTTAAACTGACTAAGCTTATTCAACCTTCAAGTACAACCCATTTTCAGTGTTCTTAAGAGAGTGAAAATAAGCTGATTTATACCAATACCAAATAAATAGTAATTCAAGTATGGTGGTCATTATATTTTGTTTTTATGAAACTTTGTTTTTCCTAACCAAAACCCTAACCTCCTATCTCAGGCCTTGACCCTAACTGCTAACCCTTAACCTCAATCCTAATGCATAAACAGGCTTTAGCCTATATTTTGTTTTTAATCCTAATTTTTAAAAAATATTTTAATTTATTTTTATTTTATGTGTATGAGTGTGTTGCCTGCATGTGCACCTGTGGCGTGCAGTGCCACAGAGGTCAGAAGAGGCTTCGGATTCCCTTGGAACTGGAGTTAAGAATGGTTCGTAGCCGCCATGTGGGTTCTGGGAATTGAACCCAGGTCCTCTATAAGAGCAATCAGTATTCTTAACCGCTGAACCATCTCTCCAGCCCCTTAATCCTAATTTTTTAATTTTTACTTTGCATATGACAGTGAAGTCTAATTTCAGTCAGATCCCTTAAGTGTCTGAAAATGTAAATTTGACTAAGCACAGAAGCAAACTGCTCAGCATATTTACTACATGTTTACTAAAAGCCCAGCAGGATTACAAGTGCTATGAACTCAGTGATCACAGTCCAGCTGGAGAGACAGATGGGTAAGCTGAGGTTCAAAAAGGAAGCTGAGTGAGATGGAGTCAGAGAATGTTTCCTGTGGAACAAAACTGTAGCTGAATCTGGAAGGACTTGGGTGTATGTTTTTCCAGCAGAGAGCTAGAAAGGAGTCTTCCAGGCAGAGAGAACAGTGGGAAAGAAAGACAGCAGTGTGGCATGAAATCGAGGGTTTCATCTGGAGATATAATGAGGTTCCAGGTCATAAAAGACCTTATGTGTTGTGCTGCAATGTTTGAGTTTCATCTGGGGGAAGCATTTAAAAGATTTTTAAATGTTTTATTTCTTGTGTATGAGTCTTTTACCTGCTTGTATGTAAGTACACCACGTGAGTGCAATGCATGAAGAGGCCAGTAGAGAATGACAGATCCCTGGAACTGGGGTTATGGTTGTTAACCATGGTATGGGTGCTAGGACCCAAACCCAGGACTTTTGCAAGAGCAGCCAATGCTCTTGACTAAGTCATTTTTCCAGCCCCACATTTAGAAGATCTGAGCCAGTAAATGGCATAGATGTGTACTAGAAACATTTACTGAACTGGTCTTCTTTGTTATATACAATCTGCTTCTATTTAGTCATACATTGAAAACTGACTTGCATATCAGAGGAAAAAAATATCAAATTGATGTTAGGCACTTGGTTTTTTTTTTTCTAAATATTTTATTTATTATTTTTATTTTATGTATATGAGTGTTTTGCCTGCATGTATGTTAGTTCACCACATGTGTACAATGCCCACAGTGGCCAGAAGAGGGTGTCAGATCCCCTGGAACTAGAGTTACAAAAGGCTGTTAACTGCCATGTAGGTGCTAGGGCTCAAACCTGGGTCCTCTGGAAGAACAAGTGTTCTTAACAACTAAGCCATCTCTCTAACCCCCAATGTTAGCCACTTGTATATTTATGATCCTTGTTAGAAGGTAAGATAATGCCTTCCAAATCCTTTTAAAACTACTTTGTTGTTTTTATTTTAATGTGTATGAGTGTATTGCCTGCATGTAAGTAAGTGCACTCATATCATGCAATGCCCATGGAGGTCAGAAGAAGGCATTGGATCCCCTGGAACTGGAGTTATGGATGGTTTTTAGCTGCCGTGGAGATGCTGGGAATTGAACCCGGGTCCTCTGCAAAAACAACCTGTGTTCTCAACCACTAAGCCATCTCTCCAGCCCCCAGCCATCCAAGGGATTCCTTTGGTTCTGGGTCCCTCACTCTTAATTTAGACAGATAACAGCTTTGTCTGCATTGGCTTCCTTTCTTCCAGCCCATTCCTGTCTGTAAACAGGAAATGCAGTAAGAGTTCCTGCCTCTGAGTTTGTCAGACAGATGGTCTTGCCAATGCAAAATTTTTGTATAAGTGATCTAGTGTTCCCCAGGTCTGCTGCCTCAGTTCCCAAAATGTTCAGGAAGCCATAACAATCTGCCTTCACATCCTCTCCAGACCATGGTTCCTCTGTGAGCCAGCTACCATCAAAGAAGCTGTATTTATCTTTGTTCCTGATAGTTTTCAGCCCTTTCCAATCTACCTAATTTCCTGCCTCTGACCTTGTTTGGCCCCAATTTTCCAAAACACACACATATAAAAGCATTATAAAGAATATAACCTAACAATGTTTTAAGCAAATCTAATTCTATCACAGAACAAACCGAAAGCTATAATGTTGTTAGAAAAAAATATGATTCAAGTATCAGCTTATCATGTATTAAATTAGGTCTACCAGATATCTTGACTGTACTGGTCCCGTTTCACATATCACTGCAACAGCCCTGTAACAGGGCTTTTTATACAAGAGCTACTAAGCTAAGGAGAAGTGATAAGCGCACCTAAAAATCACAGCTGTTGGGGTGGTCAGAAATAGAAGAGCGGATAGTCTCTGTGCTTGGGCACCCTTCTCACTATACAGCTCTGTCCTAAACTGGGAATTTTTTTAATTGTGTTTTATTAAATAGTGCATTACAACATGTAGTGTCATAAGGTTTATAAAGTGATTTCACTTATATCTCATTTGATTTCCAGAATGACTGTGAGATAAGTATGATTCTCCCTGCATTACAGAGAGAACTAAGCCAGTAAGATAAGTGACTTGCACTACATGAAACAACTTATAAATGGCAAACCAATATTCACAATCTTTTTAAAGTTGTGTGTGTGTTTCTGTATGTGTAATCAAAAGCCCTTTAAGCTGGGTGCAGATAAGATGTTTTGCTTACACTACTGTGGGTTGATATTTGTTGATATGTCCAAAAATGTATTAATAACACTGACTCCCGAAGGGAAATTTGAATGACATTCCTGTTGGTCTAGACATTGCATTGCCATTTCATTTCCTTTGGATTATATAGAATTTTGAGTTACGATTGCCTTTCTACTTGATTGCATAAGAGTGCATTCCACATATGAAGGTATCAAGGTATAGGTTTTGTATTTACAATACAGAATTGTTTCCCATAAGGCAAGAAACAAGAAAACTCCCTTTACAGGTACTTTTGCTGGATAGAAATTGGCCAGGCTTCCTTGGGATCTTTAAGCTGATAAGCATACTATAACTATGTTTTGATGTACTTTAAAACACCTGCCCCAGGTTGGACCAATTTAGTTTTCAGTACTTGAATATTCACCACAGCTACTTCTTTCAGGTTTTGTGATGAAGGAACGTGTACAGACAAAGCCAATATTCTCTATGCCTGGGCAAGAAATGCTCCCCCAACCAGGCTCCCCAAAGGTATGTCAGAAGTCTGTGGGATGGTCTTAAGTTCCTGTGTCTACTAATGGTCCTTTCTAAAAACTTTTGCCGCTGTTCCACACTGCATTTTCTCACTAAAAGTGCCAGTGTCATCTACTGTGTCCTGAATCAGTTTCTTTTCGATGGTTACTTTTTCTCACCTCTCTTTGGTAAGTAGTTTGCCCTCACAAGAGTTCAGATTGAATTAGAAAATAATCAAGTATACCTCAAGCCACCTTGGGTCTGAGGCACAGTGGCTCTTGACAGCAGGAACGTTTTTAGGAGCCAAGAGAGCTTGGAATTAAATAAGTTGCTGTTTCAGCAAACAGTGATGTTTTTTGTTTTTTTGTTTTTGGATTCCTGGAAACTAGATATTTAATATGATGCCAAGGCTCAGGCTGGCTTTCTGACTTGACCTGTAAACTGTTGATCATTTCCAATGTCTGAGTGAACTGCCAGACTTTCATACTGCCTAGATCTTTGGGAATATTAAAGTGAGTGTGTGTTCTGTTACAGAATGCCATGTGTGAGGAGTGTTTTATGGGCACGCACCCACTGTTCCTCCTTAGCTCCTGACAGCATTGCTGATTGAGCTCTGCTTTGCATTGCTTCAAACCAGCTTCAGAATTCTCTGCCACTTGCATGGCAGGCCTAAGCATCAGAGGACGGTCTGCATTTTTATAGCAGATTTTTTTGTTTGCTGCATGTGAAGTTTATCTGTATGTTTTTAAAGTATCATCAGCAAACTCTGTATCTATTGACAGTAACACTGTTACAAACACTTCACATTCCAAAAGTTCACTGACATCCTGGACTTTGTAATCTAGTTGACATCTGGTTTCTTCAGTGTCTGTTTTAGGGCACTTTGTTTTCATATGGGAACAGAAGGATTCTTGTGTGATATTCCTAATAATCTATTTCCTATAAACAATTAGAAAATTAAAGTGACCATGAATATGTGTAAAAATGAGAGAATATTTTTGTGTTAAATGGTCAAAAGGGACAGAATTTTATTTTATTATGTTTCTTTCTGAAAGAGTGATTTGTTTGATGAAAATACAAGGGACTACTCTGGTTCTATTTTTGTTGTATTTTGAGACAGAGTCTTCCTGTGACCCCAGCTGGCCTGGAACTCTCTATATAGACTAAGCTGACATGGACCTCACAAAAATCTGCCAGCCTCCACCTCCCAAATGCCACTGCTACTCTAGTTCTAAAGTGCAAACTATGAATAGGACTTTATCAGAGTTCCGAGAAGAAATGACATATTAGAAATTCTGGGCAATGCAGCTTTTTTCAGTTTCTATATGACTATTTCATATGCCCTATGTTACTTTATTTCTTAATGGGTTTCATGACTAGCAGCCCACAATTACTACTATAACTAGCTAAAACATCAATTTATAAAATATTAATTTGTCTTCAACTGTTTAGGTGTCGGATTCAGAGTTGGAGGAGAAACTGGAAGTAAATACTTTGTCCTACAAGTTCACTATGGGGATATCAGTGCTTTTCGAGGTAAGTTTCAAAATGTTGACGCTGAGCAGAACTTTCAGTACTTTATTGGTTAAACCGAATGTGCTGTTATCAGAATAATAAAATGAAAGATTACCATACACCCTGTCCAGTAGGGACAACTGCCTTTGTATACTTTAATTTGCAACTCCTGAAGAAGTGACTTTGCTTTTAAAAGTTTTTTCTGTGATGCAAATATCCACCCGCTGTGCTTTCTCTTTTGCTGACTTCCTGTGTTGTCTACCTACTTGCTTCCATGCCCATCAAAGGTGTCACTCATTATACCACCACCAGTGTGTTTGGTCACCTTAATCACAGCCCTTGGGAGGCAGAGACAGGTGGATCTCTGTGAGATTGAGACCTGCCGGGTCCACATAGTGTCTTCAGATGGACTGGGACTAGAGAGTCCCTGGTTTAAAAAAAATAGTGTCACTCATTACAAGCAACACTGTTAGAAATCAGGGAAGGGGACTGGCAGTTTATTACTATAAGCAAGCCCTGGAAAGAGGTTCTGCAGTACTGGAAGGTCTCAGACACTCCAACACCTACCTTGTTTCATGTATAATCTACACAAGCCTTCTTCATGAACTTCTCCATTGTCCATTGCACAGAGCTCAGTCAGTGACTAAACACTGCTAAATCCTCCTAGACATATGTTGCTCTACCGCTGTCTATTCTGCATTTCATTTAAATACCCCTTTTCCTACTATAGAATCATTGATGTGAGGAATGGGCCCTGTTCCCAGGGCAACTGCAACTGGTGATTATTATTTGCTATACTGCATTTAGCCAAATTCCAATCACATTTTGAACCCATACTCTTATGTTCATGAGAGTGTAAATATTAACAGAATTCAGTGGCTTATTGGGTTCTTTTCCTGTCCTGTGTTGACATATATTTTCTCCTGGATTCTCTAATTTAATAGGGTACTTAATAAAAACTCATCCAATACATTTCCTTTCATTCAAGCACACTGTATTTCCATCCAGTTAATTCTAGAAGCAGATGTGTGTTTGCACCTATGAAATACCCTCTGGGGCCCTTCTTTCAAGATCCCTGTGTGGTGAGGAAGGTCCATAGAATAGATTCTCAGTCATCAGAACTGGGACAATAAATAGTCTCCCTCTGGAAAAGTATAATATTTTGTAACTGAAAACATAATTAGTATCTTAGTCAGATATTCATCAGTTAAACAAGAACTTGCAGCCTAGCCTATGAACCGAACTTGAAATGAAATATTTTTCATATTAAAAATACCCTGTTATAGCCCAGTAGTTTTCCGTTTATGCTTCAGAACCTAATCTTAAATTGTGAGCGCTCTGTTACTGAAATGAGGTTCTGTTGAGAACAAAGGGATAAAATGGTGTTTGAGCTTGGGGAACAGGCCAGACATCATCTGCTCTAGAATTCTGCTGGTGTTAGTGGAGCAGGCAGCCTCTGAATGCTGACTGAAACACTAACAAAACTCATGTTTTGAAGATGGCAGTCAGGTCTTCCATGAGTCCCACAGCCCACCACACCCCCACACACTCACAAACCATATCCTCTGTCCCCTGTGAGACTCCGGGCTCCATGGAGAACATAATTCTTAGTTTTTTTAGCACTCTTGATAGAGGCTGGATGCATTCCTTAGAGAAAAGGAATTAGTGATTGGAAAAGGAATTAGTGGTAGGCACTAATATTTGAAAATCATAATATTTTAGTAATCTAATTTTTTACTGATAAGTTTATTTTTTATAATTTATGTTTAATATTAGGGTAATAAAGTACTGATATTTTAATATATAAACATACTAT